CGGCTGCGGCACCGGCGTTTGGCAGTGTATATTTTATTTTATTTCGTTTATTTATTTAATTTTCTCTCTCTCTCTCTCTCTGTACGTTTTGCTCAACCCGAGTCGTGTGTAACACGTCCAAGGCCGTCGAGTTTTTTACGACGCGTAAAATTCGCGCACAATGTCATCGGACGATTTCAAAACGTATACTACAAGCATAATAATGCGTGCGTGCACGATATTATTACATAAACCCGCGTAATGCGTTTCATTGTGTTGGCTATAATAATATTATTATGTATCGTTACATTTGGCCCCGCCCGGTGGACACCGTGGCCATTGGATTATTGTATTTTTTACTCCTAAAATCCTAAGTATGATAGTTGGATAGATATGCAGAAATCCGTTAAGATTTCAGGGGGGAGGGCTATCACTCCAACACAACTAAAGTCTAAAACACTGTCTGGTTTTTTTTTTTTTTTGGGGGGGGGGTTATCCTTCGGATATTATAGTTACTGATGGGCCTATTCCGATGATCGTTTATCCGTTGTATACCTATATTATAAAACATGATTCGACTTGAGACGAACGTCATTACTTAGCACATTATTATCATCAATACTCGGTGCACTCGGCGAGTAGTGTGTGTTTTCTTGCGAGGCACACGCGACAATATAACAGTACACACCTGTTGATTTCATCGGTTTGACACATTAAACAAAAATCAATAACGATCGTAAAATATAATATTATAATATTGTTATCGTCATCGGAAGGGTGGAGAAAGAAAAAGGGAAAATAAAATGTAAATAAGATTGCGCAAGGCAGCAGCTGCAACTGTTGTTTACAAATATCAGAAATATTACATTAAATATGAATATAATGTATAGTGATAACTGATAAGGCACACCCGCAACCATAGGTAAGCCGCGGGGTCGACGTCCAATAACACCTTCGTTACAACATCGTTAATGTGATGTCGATATTATATTATTATTATCATAGCCCCATAACAATAATAATAATATGATTCTGATTTTAATGTTATTATTATGCATTATATTGTAATTATAACGGGGACGATAATGATATGCGTAAATTTCGAAGTCGGTGCCGCGATTACCTCCGGTTCATAAGCGTGCCCACGGGGTTGGCTGTTACCTTTGAACTTTCTACTAGGTTTTTATGTACTATAATTTATTAATTAGGCGTACATTAGTCGATTATCTAAGGATATGACTATATGGTATGCTCCCGTGCACTTCGTGCAAATGTTGGGTTCAAGTTCAGCTTTGTGGTGTTCAACCAATTCTGTTCTCACGTTTATCGTATACAATCAATACGATCCGTGCAGTGTTACATAGTGTATGATTTACTCTAAAAGAGTCTGCACTTTTTACTAAGCTGTCCCACCGGCGTAGCCCGTAAAGGTTATAACTTCATAAACCCCTCAATTAGTACCGTAAACATGTCAAGGAGCACGATTCCTTGAGTATAAAATGTAAAAAGTAAAACCAGTGCTGCACTGTGATTGTGCACTCATTATTTAAAAGAGACTATCATCATTTGTGGGAAAGAGGGTCAACCGTACGATTTTGCATTATAAAGTTATATAATCATACTTAATACCATTAATGATTCGAAAAAATACACCATTATAAAAATATAATTAGTAACAATATAATATCCTATATTATGTCCTTGGTATGGGAGTGCAGCGTGAATACTGATCACTAAATAGTAAATTATAATAATATTACATAGTAAATCAGACATCATTAAATTTTGATTTATTTTGTGTTACACATTGTGCAGCGATCGTAATATTATGTGATCAATGTAATATCGTATGCATTGTTATGTAGGTTGTTAAAGTTAGGTTAGTTAAAAAACGTTATCCCCTCGGTTCCTACCCAATAGTTGTTGGGACAGCGAACTCGAAAGTTTCGTTTTAGAAGAACTTGAAAACTTGTCGACTATATCTCTGACCATACCTCGTCGATATGGAATACCTTAGTATAGTGAAAAGCCTCAGTTGCCAGTCCACCAGTATGGCCTATTTGCATAAAACGTCCTTTCATATGACTACTAAAGGCGACAGCCGACAAGACACTCGTCGATAACATTGTCGCGTGTGTTTACAATATTAATTTAATTAGGTCGATTTATTTATGAGCCCGCGTTTATGCGTAGTCTGACGCGCCGACCGAAACGTTTCGTGGAAAACGGAGAGACGGGGTAAAGGAAAATTACCATAAAAAAAATTCTAGCACATTAGCGAAATAATATTATAATAATTTATTGTAATAACATAATATTATTAACATCGTTGCGTAAATTACGAAACGGTGACAACAACTACAACACACAGCTCGGATGACTCCGACTGCAACTACTGCTGACCGTATTTTCATCCGCCGCCGACGCTTTAATATTAATTTATTATTATTATTACCTATGTAAAAACAATTAATTACGATAGTAAAAATATTAATATGTGCAAACGCATACGACGGCGAAGCCCATAGACATTATAATACAATAATATCATTTACATTTAGTAATTAATAAATATTATGATGTACCTACTATACCTACTGACTGTTGGTACTCGGCATGATTACGACCGATTGTAATGTAAAATGTATACCAACAATTACGTTATTTGTAATTGTTTGTTGTAATATTAATTATTAGTTATTACGTATTATTCATTACTTGTTATTACTACTATACTAAAATACTAAATAGATTCGTCGTCAACATTATACATTGACGCTACGTTGTGCAGATCACGACGACGGCTGTCGCTGACAGACGTCTTTTCATTAATAAATCATTATTATTCGGTAAACTTAACCTAAAGTAATAATGATAACGTTAACGATTGTTATCGCTGCAATTATTATTATATTGTATCGTATACAAAATGTTTCGTTTGGTCAGAGGGTTGATGGATTTGATGTCTGGACGCGGCCACAATATGTTTTTCTAAATTTTCAATTAAAATCTGAGTACTGTCTGTTATATATATTTACGATCTACGAGTATTGTTATTAATTTCAAAAATTGCCTTCACGAAAACCCATTCGTACCTACCTAGTGAATAGAATACCTATATAAATTCATATCTTTATTCCGAAATGATTATATAATTTCGAAAAGATTATTGATTTTATTGTAACAAAACACTTACACACGAAATCATCAATACAAAGATAATCGACCGATGTCCTCAATGTAGAAAAAATATTTTCTTTTTGGAAATCGAGGTATCAGTGGTATTTAACTATCATCTATTCATAAACGGCTGTCAAATACTGATTATCATAAAAGGCTGTGTACTTTTCAAATTATTGGTGCTCCCCACTATGTGCTATTGAGCCACGTGAATCGCGTAACGTTCGGTGTTTATGTTATTACTATTATAGGTATATTATTGATGTAGTAAAACCAAAAAAAAAACCGATATCGTGTATGAATAATTGATGAGTGATACGCGTAAGTCGAATAATGGTGCCGTGCCGGGAAGCAGCTGCAGACTAGTTTGTACGTTAGCTGACGGCTATTCGTTTTAGTTTTAGTCGATCCTTGGATCACTACAACTATAATATCTTAGCGCCAGTGCCAGTCATCGCATACGTAATAATATTATGATGGCATATATTATTATATTGTGATCGATACGAGTTTCGTCCGTCGCTCGATAACGCGTTTATACGCCATAACGATCTATATGGCCGGAATTCACCTCGGCTGTGTTTTCAAAAGGTCAAATTAATAAAATTAATACTAGCCATTATTGTATAACATCACGCCGCATGCAACTACGGAGATTGTAAATGCGGTCCGCTCGCCTTTTACCAAACGGGTTGGCCGCGCGAGTCCTACCTTTTACTGCTGCACCGTGTATTATATAACAACGATACATTTCGAGATACCATGTAAATATAGGAAAAAAACATTCGCCGAACGGAACCAGTGTTAAGACATCGTCGGATATCGTAATGGGCGACCTTGCTCGGTTTATTATTGTATTTCCTCGATCCCACCGTCCTTGGCCGGTCCGGCGGTTTATATAATATTATGTATAATGTTATACGCGTCATTACTTATTATTGTGTTATAACACGACGACCGTATACAAGTTAGCAGTGCTACATATTAATACGTAACATCGACGGGTAATGCGAATGTGGTCACCTCGGTTGTTACCTCGGCGCACAGCACAACAACATCACTGGCCGGTTGAACGTAATAAACGTTAGAAGAATTTATTGCAGATATCGAATTTTTCGATCCCGTCCGTTTATGATTCCAATGATCGGTCCCCTTTTCCGAAGCCTCCCAGGGAGCGTATTTAGTAGTCAGGTGTGTGGAAGGGAGAGAGAGGAGTATATTGTAGTAATTTTTTTTACTGTGGCACGTGTCTGTTGCGAAACAGTAGCTTCGGAATTCCACCGCCGCCTCTGCATTTACGATGTTTCTCTCAAGGTTTCCGAAGCGTGCACCGATACAACCATTAGCATAACGCAAAATAATACACAATATGTAAACTGCGTCACAGAATTTCCCGAACAGTCTTCGTCATCATCGTCGTCGTTAGGTTTTACGGCACTAAATCCCATCCCCTGCTGAAATGCAGCACAAATAATTCTACGGAAACGACTAGTCTGAAGATTTTCATGACTTACGAGTCACCAAGGTTAGGGAGGTGTATTCTAGGAACTCCCATTATTGATTCCTTTTTCACCCAGTTGACATTTATAGGAATTAATATTACATAATATGAGAACTACGTGCATCCAAAAGGGGACTTAGCCTAGGAAAAAACGTTTCAGATATCAATACAGTTTGTGTCACAAGTATTGTGTTTGATTTTTTCATTGATACAAATTTCCCTAACTTTTACCCCACTCAGTGTTTGTGTGACAGCATTGCTGTTGTCATTATATAGGTAGTTATATTTTACGGTGTGAAACTCATTTCCACGTACGTGTTTTTATGTTAAAGGTTGAGAAATGGTAGCGGACACGGCCAACAGTTATCATCATCAACAGAAAACTCAGCAGCAGCAGCCGCAGCCGCAGCAACTAAACCAACATCAACATCAGCAGCAGCAACAGCACCACCATCAGCAACAGCAACAAAAACTCCACCAGCAACAGCAGCAGCAACTTCACCAAATCCACCTGCAACGCCAACAACAACAACAGGAGCAAAATAGTGGCGGAGCCATGCCACAATATTGCAGCGACATGGAACAGTCGGGTGGTCCCGGGAGCATGAGGTACGACGATTCGGTATCACCCGGACCAGAATCGCCAGGACCTGGTGAACCGTACCCACCCGGGTTCGATCTCACAGCGCACCTGCAGCACAAGGAGTTCTTTGCGCAGCGCAAGCAGCGTGAGTTTATACCTGATAATAAAAAAGATGAGAGCTACTGGGACCGGAGGAGGCGGAATAATGAGGCGGCTAAAAGGTCCCGCGAAAAGAGACGTTTCAACGACATGATTCTCGAACAGCGGGTGGTTGAACTCAGCAAGGAGAACCACGTGCTCAAGGCCCAACTCTCAGCCATTAAAGACAAGTTCGGCATCAGTGGCGAGGCTGTGGTCAGCGTTGAACAGGTAATAATTCGATTCATCATTACACATAAGGTTTTGGGTTAAGTCCTGTTTGCGTTAATACAAATCGTTTTATGAGATATTTACACAAACTTACCGCACTATATAGTTATTTTGCGATTAAAAATACATAATATTCTAGGTATGTGGTGTAGTGGTATATTATGATTGTATGGGAAAAATATGAAGGGTAGTATTATATTATAACGCTGTTAGTTGTTTACGATGAGGCGATGTGTTTGCACCGTTCTCTAGGTATTATTTTTCTTGCTGAACTTTTCAAAAACCATATACCTAACACCTGTGAATTACACTCAAACGAGTAAACAAACTGCCTGCATAAACACTAATCGTACATGTTCCGAAATTAAACTAAACGCTCACAATAAACTAAAATGGTTTCGAAAGGTTACGAATATATATATAATGGATATCAATCGTCATTGGTTTCGATCCCACCCCCATGGTATATAAATAGCCCCAAATAATATCACGTACTAACTATAGTTTTTCTTTTGCCCACGCCCAGGTTATGGCTTCTCTGCCTACAAACGAACAAGTGTTGAGCATCACGAAACGCCCGAAACTGTCCACGTCGTCTTCGTCCTCGTCGGTGGGTTACTCTCAGAACGGGTCCGGTCCCATACCCACATCGGTCATCCACCAGCCCGTGCAGTCGACCACTCCCAAAATGAACGGCTCGTACTATGGCGGAGCACAGTCCGACTGCGACAGCCCTGTCGACCAACTCCAGCAACAACAGCAGCAACAACAACAGCACCAGCACCAGCAGCAGCAGGGTGACAGAAACCTGCCGATGTCCGTGGCCGCCGCAGCCGTGGCCGCCGCGGCCCAGGCCGGGTACCCACCGTACCCGTTCGCGCCCGTCCTGCCACCACTGCAGCCACCGTCCTTCGAGGCGGCCGCCAACAGCGTGCTGAACCTCAGCCGCCGGCCACCGTCTCCGTACGAGCTGAGCAGCGGAAGTGGTGACGACACGTCGTCGTCTTGCGTGCCCATATCGCTGGCATTCGTGGCCGCGGCTGCTGCCGCAGCTGCCGGTGGAGTCGTCGGACCGGGCGGCGCGTTGGTCGGAAACAACAACAACCAGAATAACAACAATCACCACCATCAGCACCGACACCGGCACCACTTTAACGGCAACGGCATGATGGCCATGATGACCGGAGGTGGCGGCGGAGGTATACCGATCGCGGTCCTCAACAACAACAACAACAACGTCTCCATGGTCCACGGAAACGACAATAACGCTGCAGGCATAATCGGCGGCGTCAACGGCAACAGCATCGCTGCGATCGTCAACAGCGGCGGTGGAGGCAACGGCGGCGGTAACTGTCTGCCACACAAACTCCGTCACAAGACGCACTTGGGAGACAAGGACGTGGCGGCCACAGCGTTGCTGTCGCTGCAGGCCATCAAGCAGGAACCCGGAAGCAGCCGGGCCAGTCCACCGTGGGATGCCGAGGGAAGCAGCGACGAGCGCGACTCTGGCATTAGCCTGGGCGTCGAATGGGGTGTCCGGCCTTCGTCCGCTTCGGTAGCCGCTTGCCCGACGGCCGCCTCGGTGGCCGCTCCCCGAGCCGCTGCCATGCAGTCACCGGCCGCCGCCACGATGGGTGGCGAGCCGGCCGACGGTGCCGTGCACGCGACCGCCCCGACGGCCGCGGCCGCTGCTGACGACACCAGGCTCAAGTCCGAGGTGGCCCGGCTAGCGTCCGAGGTGGCCACCCTCAAGAACATGCTGTCGTCCAGGAAGTCGGCCACCGCGGCGCCGGCCCAGTCCACTACCGTTGCGGTCAACTAATCGCGGCGGCAGGCTATGACGACGGGTACAATATTTTTGTTATTCGTTATCGCGATCCACTGGTATTTTGTTTGTTATACGTTCGTACGCGAATCCATAGGTAAATTATTATTTTTTTTTTTTTATGAAAATTATTTTTATTATTATATTATTATCATTATTATTATTAAAAGCTATGGTAGTTTTGACGATGTTTCGTAAATCAATCGAACACTTTTTCGTCGCCCACCGAATGTCTTATTAAAATATCATAATAATATGTGTGTGTAATATAAAGTAGATGAAATTATTATAATGTTATTATTGTTATAATAATGTAACTCGAAAAAATAATTATTGTTTTTTTTTTTTTTTGCTTTCTGAACGACGAGCGCACCTTGATGATCGGGGGTTACTTGTCGGGGGGTGGGTGAGTGAAATCATAAACGCTGAGTAAAAATCTAAAGACGAATTTTTTTCTTCTTCCATCAGCTCGGGCGTTCGTCGGATAATTTAATATTATTATAAAGTGTAAATAAACTTGTAACAATAATACATAATATACGTATTAAATACGTACGGGGCGGTTCTTGTGTCTGTTTTTCATGATAATAATATTATATAACGGCGACACAAACTCAATATTTTGCGCCACACTTGCAGTGAACCGCGACCGTGAGAGAATCGCCCTGTACGTACACTATATATAATATACATGTATATTATATTGGTGTATGTATGTGTGTGTTTGTATAAAGTATAAAATATATAATGCAATTTTTTTTTTTAATATATACGTTACGCCAAAAACCTTCTAACGGACGGGGGCACTATGGCAGGCGAGGATGTTGCTATTTAGCTAAATATTATTATTTCTTTAGTCGTGTGTGCGGTGTGCCGCACATGCGAAAGCGACCGACCGTGGTGTATTATAATAGTTGGGTAGACCTAACCTATAGGACGCCTACCTGCAATCATGCAAAACAAAACGTTCTTTTCGCCGCCAGCCGTCGCGATTATAAATTAAAATATTACTATCATCGTGTACGAGATGTTTAAAGTCAAATTTCCGTTACTTCAGTGAGGCTGTATGTTCGGAATCGCTTGTCGAAATCGAACCACAACAGTTTTGCGGCAATAAACAATTTGACAGGCTTTTTGAATACAATTAGAAAATTAAAAAAAAACTCCTCGAGAGGAGCCCTCCCCCTCTTCATAATCTTCGGAAACCACTGCCCCCGACTCGTACGGCGATCTCGAATAAAATATATCTGTGATAAACGTTCGATCGCGTACCTGTTGCCGTTGTTCAGTTTTTGTGTTTTTGGGGTATTTTTATGCTTGTCGATAAACGCCGACACCGTAAAATAATTGTTAATATTATTATATTTTACATGATAAAATTGTAATTTTTATTATGATTAATATAATGTAGATATAATATTGAGATGGAAAGCATATTATACAATATTGTAATATTACTTTATCGTTTTGCGTTTGTGTTACAATATAGTATATTATAATATTATGCTTAGCATACAATAATATTATAATGCAATGTTATTATATTGCGCGAACTCGCGTGTTATTGTCTAAGAATATTACAATACAATGATATTTTATTTATTAATTTATTTGTACGATCACTATATAATATTATTATTATTATTATGATTTTTATTAATATTATTATTCATCGTCATGAAACTTATATTCTGTAATAAATTATTTATAATCGTAAGTTTTTATTTTTTAAACTTGTACAATGCAAAAGTTTATGTTTTTTAATATTATGACGCATAACGTGCGTATATATTATTATTATGATTTAACAACCTGTACATAATATTATAATTTTTATTATTACATAATATTATAAGATTGTTATTGTTTTCTACTATCTATATATTATTATTATTATATAATAAAAAATATCCATATTATTGTAATAATATATAATAATACATGAAATATATTATATAATATATTTATCATCAAACGTGATTGTATTATTATTGTGCAGTGCGAGAGTTAAAAAAAAATTCAAATCCATATACATAATATTATTTTTTATATTATATATATATATTATACATTCATGTACATAAAATACGACAGAGTGTACAGTTTTTCGACATCGCCATTTTCCCTCCCCCTCCCCTCCCCTTCATGGCTACCACGAGCGACGCCGACCGACTTATTCAGCACGTTCGCTCACCACACTGTCGCGGGCAGTATAGTAATAACATAGTCTCTCGCGAACATAATATTATAAAAAAAAACCCGTTTTAACGGGTCTCGGCGAATATCGCCGTTGTCTTGCAGCGTTTTTTATATTCCTTCTAAATTTTATATTATTACGTTTTGTTCGCCCCTCGACCGGAGTCGTCGTTATTGAATACCGTCAGGAGTCACTCGACGACGTCGTAAAAGTATATGGGTACCTACCCAAAAATAAATGATTTTTTTTTTAAACTTTTTTATTCGATTTCCGAGCTCCCCGCTCATGCATTTGTACCAGTAGTATTTCTACACAGTAGTCGTATTGTTTTATCAATGTTATCTACGTTTGTACATAATAATAATATTATGTTATGTAATAAATAATTGTACGTGACACTTCAACCATCCTGGACCGGCCGAGTGAATAATTTATTACTCGAATCGAGTTGGCTGGTGGTAGTAAAACTTTAAAATTAATATAATTTTAATATACGGGGTGATTCACAAAGCCAAGTTCACACGCTTTTTTTCCCGGATATAATAAAGCAGTTATATGACTTTTAAAATTTTAAAAATATACCTACTTGATGACAATTATTTTATAAGACATTAGATTGTTTGTACTATTTTTACTGCGAGTATGCAGTGCTGTGGCGTCTTGTCGATACTAACTTGTGTTTTCCAAACTCTTTACACGGTAGCCACTAAAAAATATCAAATATTCGAAAATACGGGTTTTAAGAACCTATATTTTCAAATTTGAAAAATCTTATATGCTCGGTGAATCACCCTGTACAACTGCGTACGTGCATCGGTCACTCGGTCATAGAGACCTTTTAATCGCGACGTCTATCTCGGCGCACAATAATAATAGTGATATAGACAGGACCGATCTATCAATTTGGTTTTCCACAGTTTTTCGTCAATTTATTTCGCCATTCACTAGAGCAACTATATTATTCTTGTTGGGAGACGTCGTAGTTGGTTCATTTTTGAGTAACATAAATACCTATTCCAAACAAAATTTATAGTATTTTACGGACCGGCTATATACTACAGGTAACCGCGGTACGAGTCTCCAACTGGTTTCAAACGACACAAAATATATACCTATACTATAATCGAATGTTCACATAATCGGCTTAACAGGTTAAAAAAAAAAAAAAGAAAAAAGTTTTGAAATGGAGAACAATTTTATAAATTATAATTTTTATCTTTGGGAAATATATACGCAAATCAAGCTCATTGGCCGAATTCAAACGACTGCGATCAAATAATATATTACCATAATGGCATAATAAATACCTATAGGCTATAGGCACTTGAAGGTAGGCATTAAAAAAAAAAAAAAAAAAACATGAATAATAATTTTAATAGCTTATAAATTATTTATATATTGAAACTATTATACACCTATCTATTATTAGATGAAATTATATATAAAAATTCTTTCGATGTATAGAAACATTATTAAACGTGATTTGTAACACACTTGCACGTAAGCTATATCTTGCAAGTTAACTTAAGCTATTATTGGTGAATAAATATTTTTGAGTTCAGTAAAGGTAAGTACTTTATATATTTATTTTTATATTATATTATCAGTGGTAGGTAGTATTATGAGGCCACCGCATGCATGATAGCCGAATATGGATCAACTCAGTTTTATCATGATGTCTATTATGTTTATCATAGAGAAATATGCGTTGTTCTTTACTGCTGTAGGTATCAGTTACCTATATTATTATTCAAGACTTAAAACAAATTGGTGTCAATTTAGGGAAATCTAACAATAAAAATAAATTGTTACACTTTGAGATTTTTTGTAATTGATATAAAGTAAGTATTTGATACTCTGGATAGTGCTGATAGAAACCAATAAATCTTTTTTTGGGGGAGGCTCTTTGAATCCTTAGTTTACTATACGTCAACTCGATAGGCTGTTCACCTAACTCAGGTATACTATATATTCGAGATTGAAAATCAATCGTTGCGGTTGCCCGTGAATGGAGAAAACTCATTACGAAAACACTAGACCACGAATTGTGATTGAACAGTTTTACTTTCGGTCTCGCAAATAGTTGTGAAAAACAAATAATTAAGCTACTTGCAGGAGTATAAACTGTAAATTTAATTGATTATACCTACATCGCAGTACACCTAATCTATAGCAATAATTAACAGTTCGGGAAGTTGTTTTACTTTCAGCATGAGTTTGCAACTACCTGCTACCTCGTTATTATATATGTATATAATATAAACATTATACTCTAAATGGAGACACGTTTGATAAATTTGTCGCCAAAGTGATCTTGATATCGACAGAAACTTGCAGTATTTGAGTTACGAGTTTCTATATTATTATCTACCTACTATTAAGTTTAAGCTGGTGCTGTAATATAATATGGCAATATATAGTCAATAAAATACAACCTGTGTTCATACAGAGTAATTATCTGCAGTAAATAAATAATTTGTACCTAGAAGACGAGAGTCGTTTGTCAAATCCGTTAAGTATTAGTCCAATAAGGTGCAGGGCGAGTTAATGAACACAATATTAAGTTAATATACATACAAGTGAATAGTAGTTACTAGTTAACAACAATATATTTAACAATTCTAAATCTGAAATTTTAAAGTTAATACGTAAAAAAATATATTACATATAATAATATTAAAATATATAATATTTACTTGAGATAGTTTAAATGAATAAATCGACTATTTTTTTTTAAATACAACAACCATCACAAATCACAATGGTCACACGTTACTGTTGACTGTGCAACTTAATTTTT